CCAGCCTCCCCCAGGTGGAGAGGGGGGTTTCCAAAATCCTCGGCGGCGGCCCCAAGGGCAATAAATTTTCTTTACACCAATGGCAAGTGCGTCATCATAAGGAACATCGATGTGAGTACCCCCCCCCCCGCCCCCTCCAGGCCCCCGGCCCGTCCCCAGGCAGCACAGCTCCTGGGTGAATTCCCCGCCCCTTCCCCCCAGTTCCTCTCCGGCGGTGGCCTGGGAGGAGGACGCCACGCCCCCTCGGCTCTGGGACCACACCTCAGAGCCCAGGAGGACTGTTTCAAGTCTAGCCAGGCCGGGTTCTCTCTTCTTGAGGCTCAGATTAGTTCAGTCCTAAGCATAAGGGCTCTGGACTTGGGGGATCACAGGCCGATCCCTGCTCCTTGACCTTGGAGGGGGTGGGGGTTGCTGACTCAGGCCTCCCTGAGCCCCAGTTTCCTCATCTGCAAAATGGAGATGAGGTGAGGCTCCCCCCACTTCCCCTGGCTGCCCTGCCCACTGAATGAGACGAGGCCTCCCCGCAGCCCAGCCTGCCTGGCACACACCCAGCACTGGGTAAATGGCACTGAGGTTTAATCACTATTAACACCCAGGGTCTCCCCGTGTCCCTGAGCCGGGCACCTGCACTCCAGCCTCACCTTCCCCCTGCGGATCTGAGCCCCAGGGCAAAATCAGACGCCCGTTAATGCCCATGAGTCAGGGGCACAGGCTGGCATCCGGCCCCCAGGCTGAGAATGCTTCCAGAGCCAATTCCGAGGGAAGTCCTTGCACATTCCGGCTGCTCCTCTGTGATGATTGAAATGACCAGGATTGCGCCCTGAAATGCTGCTCCTCCCTGATTCCGGGGGCGGTGGGGGGGGAGGGACGCTGGAGGTGCCAGTAGGACCATTGAAGGGGGGGAGCGGGGTTCTCCTGAGCTGGGCTTGGGCCTTTTGCACAGTATGCAGGTGGGTGGTTTTGCTTGGCGATGCTCCCCAGGGTGTCAGTTTAAATTCACACAGATCCTTGGGAGCCATTACGCTCTGTGGGTTGGGATGGTCACTGGTCAGATGTGCTTACCTTCAGGAACCTCACGACCCACTGAGGGAATGAGGGGCCCTGGGCCTCGGCTTTCTTGTCTGTAAGAGGAGAGGCCTCCTTTGGGTCAGAGGTGCTGCTGGCTCTGCCCCCACCTCTGGTGAAGCCAGCCGCTGCTGTTGCTCTGCTGCAAAACGGAGCTCCGCTTGGCGGTGTCTGCCCAGGGTTGCTGGGCACCTCGAGCGAGGGGGTGGGTGGTTGTGAATGTGCTTTGAAGGCGCTAACAGCTACTCTGCTAGTCACAAGGATTCCTAGAAAGCTGATCTGGTCTCGCTCAGACCAAGGGGAAACATTGCCAAGGCTTAGATCGTACTGATCCAGAGGTCTCCAGAGTGAGGGCCTGACATTTTGAGAAAAGTTGAGGTGGCCCTAAGTAGATAGATACTCACTTGTAGTTTGGCAAACAGACGAAAGCATCTCAGGGATGCAGACCGTGCACCCCATGGACTTGCCCCTGACAAGGCAGGCGCGTCATGGCCGTTTGTATTCACTCCAGATGGAGACCTCACATGAAGTGTAGCTACTGTGTCTGGTACCAGGAACAATTCTTACACTGCATCTCCCCCAACCCCACCATGGGCCCATGGCTCTGAGGGGGTGTCAGGCTCAGGAAGGTGAAGGAGCTGGTTCCAATGGACAAGCTGGTCCCAGCCATGGACGAGCCACGGAGGCGTTCCCTGCCCTGGAAACCCAGGCTCTTCTGAGGTCTTTTTACGCTACATCCTCTCTTTTGAGGATGCATTTGTTTTCACTTCCCATCTGTTTGTAAGTTTCTGCAGGACCAGGGCAGCACGGGTACTGCTGCTGTGGCCGTCCCTGTTCTGGGTGTGAATGGGGCGCCTGGGCCCCTGTTTGATTGGTGGGCCTCGGTTGTCCAGTAAAGGTGGTACAATGGTTATTAGGGCAGAATACTCCTGTGAAAATGACCAGTCCTCATCCACCTGCACGGACCAGGAGGGAAGGCGGCGGTTAGAGTACAGGCTCGGAGTAGAGAAGAGATGGGAGAGAAGGTGTGGACCAGACCATGGAAGTCTAATTGGCATCTCACCCGTAACGCCTGAAACCATATTAGGGTTTCCCATGTGTCCCTCCCCCCAAAGAGAAATGCAGTTCTCCAGCCCTTCAGGCCTCAAACCTTGCACTTGACTCCCCCCTTCCCTTCCACACCCTATTTAATTCCTCTCGGAACCCTATGGATGCTATTGAGAGGAACTTCAGAATCTGACAAGTTTCAGTACTTCCTCAGCTGCCACCCTCATCCAGGCCACCATCTTCTCTCCTGGAGTACAAAAACAGACAGCCAGCCTGGGTCCCTGCCGGCCCCTGGCTCCTCAGGGCTGCTCTCAGCACCGCACTGAGCTGGTGACCTTAGAGCAAGTTGCTCCTGCGCTCTCCCCGCTGTGGCTGAGAGGTGTGATGAGAGGCTGGATGATGAGGCCGTCACTCTGCTCCAGGCAAAGGCCCTCAGAGCCTGTCCTCAGTGCTCACAGTCTTGCAGGGAGAACCAACCCTCAGGAATTTGAGTTCAGACTGACAAGGAAGAAGCAGAGGCGCTGTGGGCTACTCAGCACAGGAGGCTCCGAGCGCCTGTGGGCTCAGAAAGACACCTGGAGGATCAGTGGTGCCAGTCAGGTGGAGTGTGGGTGGTGAGAGGGTCCCGCAGTTTCGGGGCCTGGAGAGACCGTTTGGCTGGAGCACCGGGTGTGAGGGGAGCGTGCAGGACAGGTGTGCAGGGCTCTGGTGGTGGATGTCAAGCAGCCTTACCGAGCCCGGCTGTGGTCCAGAGGGTACAGAAGGTTCTGCAGTAGACGATTACCCTGTGTCTGAGATTTGAGGCAGGGTGACCAATGAGGAGGCTGCTCACAGATTAAGGCATCTCTCAGCAAGTGCTCGTCAGCTGATACAGCCAGCCCTTGCTTCCTGATGGTTCCCACACACATTCAGCCCGCTACTTGCTAAGCCCTGCCCACGGCCACAGTGCCCAAGATTGAAATCAGTGGTTCTCAGGCAGTTTTGCCCCCACCCCCCTCCTGGATATTTGGCAATGTCTGAGGGCATTTTTGTGCTACTGGTATTTAGTGGGTAGAGTCAAGGGATGTTGCCTAACATCCTATAATGCACAGGACTGCCCTACAACAAAGACTGATCTGGCCCAGAGTCAGCAGTGGCCATTGAAGAACTGTGATAAAGAACATTCGAATGCACTAGGTTAAGCACTTGGAAAGAACAGCGTCCATACTGATTTGGGAACAAGAGGGAAGAACCATCTGTGCCCCAGCAGCAAGGAAGTCTTCTGGAGCAAGGGCATATTTGAGTTGGGTTTTGGAGGATGAGAAAGAGTTCTCCAGGAAGAAGATTGAGACAGCAGAGATGGGGAGAAATTAGACGGGATTACATTTACACTGAGGTTGGAAGAAGTTTGACTGCATCCTCTTAGCACCATTATGGACTCCTTCCTGCAGCGTGGTTTTGTACATTTCTTACTCTGCTGATGGAGGTGTGGAGAGATACATCAACGCCTTTCTTTGAGATAAAAAGAAAGGTTGCAGCCTCACACTTGAGGCCAGTGGAGAGCTGGTCATATTTCTGGCTGTGTTGTGGAAGTTCACTCTTCCTGGGAATGGTTGGAGATGCTCACTCAAATGCCCATCAAGTCCCAGCCTTGGAAAATGCCCTTCCCCGCCACCCAGCTGCCCCCACCCCCTTCCCCACGCAGGGCCTTACTTCAGATGGCGTGCGTGAAGTGCAAAGGGCCCTTTTTACTTGCAAAGTCTCAGTGGTGGAGTCTCCCCAGCTTCATGGTGGTGCAGCCATTAGAAAGACCTGGATTTCAAGCTTTGGTTACCTGGCTGTGGCTTCTTCCGTTTTCCAGAGCCTCACCCAGAAAAGAGGCATCCCTCTGCCATAGACTGGATGTGAATGTCGCGCGCACTCTAGGCCTGTCCGGTTCTGCGCGAGCACTGGCTGATTCCAGTCCAGCACACAGCCCCGAGCACCATCTCTGGCATCGAGCTGGATTTTGATGGGCACATTTTGTGCCCGGCAGTGGCCAAGCACTTAGAGCAGTTTCCATATCAGTAAGAATCATCTATACTAATAAAAGCGTAATATGTAATTAGACCGGGAGACCTTCCAGACATCCTTCCGGACAAAGCCATGGTGGCGGGACCGAGGCAGAGGCAGTTAGGGTGATCAGGCCGGCGGGGGTGGGGGGAGGAGTTGCAGGTGATCAGGCCAGAAGGGGGGTGCAGTTGGGGCGATCAGCCCGGCAGGTGAGCAGTTAAGAGCCAGCAGTCCCAGATTGCAAGAGCGATGTCCAACTGCCGGTTTAGGCCCTACAGGGATCGGGCCTATCCAAGCAGTCAGACATCCCCCAAAGGGTCCCAAATTGGAGAGGGTGCAGGCTAGGCTGTGGGACACCCCCTCCTTCACCCTCACCTCACCCCCGTTCCACTAGTCTATAATAATAAAAGCATAATATGCTAATTAGACCAGACAGCCAGACAACCTTCCGCAAGAGCCAAGCCCCTTGCACGTATTTCGTGCATCGGGCCTCTAGTGTTATTATAGCATTAGTGTGAGGTTTCACTGAGCTAGTTAACAAGCATCTCTGGAAGGTTGCCTGGGCTGTAGTGGTGCATGGTCTGCCTTCATCTTCACAACCCCCTATTGGGTGACTCTACTGTCTTAGAGACAGGGCACCGAGGCCCAGGAGGTGTTGGGATTTGAACCAGAGCAGCCGCTCCCAGTTTTCCGTCCTGACTCAGAAGGCCCAGGGCAGGCAGAGGGATGGGAAGACAGGTAGGGAGATGACAGTCTTGTGTCCAGTGGGCTGCTGCCATGCCCAGGGTCATGCCTGAGGCTTGGTTTGCTTCACTGGGAGGCAGGAAGGAGAAGGCTTTCAGGGGTGGGAGGGCAGTGCTCACCAGGTCCCAGCGCCAGCCCAGACTTGATCCGGGAGGGAAGGAATGCATTCTTGTTGTCCTTTGAGGTCTCGTGGTAGGGGCTTAGCCTCTGGGTTCAGGCCTACGGTTCTGGAAGCACAGGTTTGTGTGTAGCTGCTTTGGAGCTAGGTATTGGGCAGTAATTTGAACTTGGCCTTAGTCACCCATGGACAGAGGGCCCTGCAGATTATTAACTTGCAGGTCCAGCTACTGGAAACTGCTCTCAGGAGCTGGGAGTGTTTAGAGAGCCAGGACTCTGGGAACTGAGCCTCCTGGACTCATGCTCACCTTGCCCGGCCAGAGTGTGGAGGGCGCCCAGGCTTTCTCTAGCTGCTCCAGGGGACCTTCAGCTGCAGAAGCTCAGACACCCCTCGTGAGCTGTGTCCTGTCGGACCGCTTCAGCAGTGGGTGGTCCATCGGCCTTCCCCACCTCTGACAGCCCGTCTGGTTCACTGGCCAGGAGCTCAGGGAAAGGCTGCCATGCCCTGTGACTCGGCTGTTACTCAGTCTTACCTGTAAAATGCTGTGGTGACCTCTGTCCCCTAGCTCAGCACCAAGAGGGAAATGTGAAAGGGGTGCAGGGGTGGTCAGGATGCAGCGTAGCCACTCTCCTGGGGCGGGGCAGGGCAGAGTTTGCTTGGTGTGCTGCTCCCAGGAAGGCCCCCTGCTCAGGTTCAAGGCAGGGACAGGCTCTGAGGTGAGAGCCTGAACTGCCCTCCGACCACGTGGTGGGAGCACCCTCACCTTGTTGGTGGGATGGGGTGGACCAGGGGCGGCCGTGGTCCTGCGTCTCATCGCATTTGTGACTGCTCTCGCAGGCTTCAGCATCGTGGCTCCAATCCAGAGATTTTGGGAAGTGGCTGAGCGTCAGGCAGGCCCTGAGCTGGGCCCTGAGTTCAGGGGGAAACCTGTGGGTTGTGGGACAGGGTGTAGGGCCAGGGCGGCTCCGGTGCCAGCCCTGAGGTGGGCCCTGGGCGGGAAGGGGCCTCGGGGGTCTGAGAAGAGTGGAGGCTATGGGCTCAGGTCCTGCAGCCCCTGAAGGAGGGATTCTAAGGAGGGAATGAGGTGATCGGAGTTGGGACCCAGAGACCATGGTGGATTGATGGAAGGAAAGATCGGTTTAAAATATATTTTCATGGTTCCAGGGGGAATGGGAAGAAATAGACAGAATCTGGGTCGGGTACAAAGAGGAGGTGGGCTTGGGAGCTGTTAGAAGACTGGGCAGGGCTGGGGTAGCAGGCAAGGCAACAGGTTCTAGTGGCTCTGTCAGCCTCTGCCCACATCCACGTGGCACCCACAGGGCCTCTAGTGCCAGGGCTTCTGACTGCGAGAACACAGGAAGGAAGTCCCAGAGGAGGGTGCCCAGCCTCCGCGCCCCTTGGTGGACACTGGAGCCCTGTTCTGGAGGTCTCCTGAGGATGGGGGAGGGAGCCTGCCCCAGCGGAGTGCTCCAGCTGCTCCCACGCTCGGCTTCCCTCCCCTCCCCCCACCCCCCCGACTCATTTTCTGTGGTTCAGATCTCGTCCTCAAATCACTACTCATCCCAAATCCTGCTTTTGTTCCTCCAGACAGCAGGAGATGAGGGGGCGTGGGAGGGAGGCTGCCCCTAGAGGTGTGAGTGGGCACTGCTGATGTGGAATGAGCCTGACCTGTGGCAGGACACGTTGAGGACAGGGGTGGTGTCATTTCTGCCTCTGGTGGCCAGCTTCCCTGTTGCAGAGAGTGGCCGCTGACTCAGGCAGTCATATTCAGCCTGGTGACGCCTGCTGTCCCCCTCCCCACCCCCACTGGCCCTGTGTTATTTGGGAGAATGATGTCTCGTCCAGTGGCTGGTCCAGCTCAGGATTCCGGTGCTGAGCCTGCCCGGGACAACCTTGGGAGTTCACACGCCCTGTGCTCACAGACGCCCTGCCCATTTAGGGGAAGGAATTCTTAGGACAGAGCCTCCTCCCAGGGGGCGTCCCCTCCCTCCCCAGAGGCCTCTGCAGAGCCCACCCTTTTAAAGGTAGTGCAGGGTGGTGACCAGGTCTCCAGGCTGTGGGTGCCGGCGTGAGTGGGTAGTTGTCCTTCGGGTGGCTCTGTCATCTGTGAAGTGGGCTGGTAGTGCCCACCGTGTGGGTGTAAGACCTCAGTCGTCCTAGCAGCAGACCCTGAAGGAGGCCCCCGGTGGTGGTGGTGGTGGTGGTGGTGGTGGTGGTGGTGGTTGTGATGGTGGTGATGCTGGTGGTGATGGTGGTGATGATGGCTGTGCACACAGCATGGCGGCTTCTTTGTGAGGGAGCCTCTCAGCGTCCGGGAGTGAGTGAGGGCTGCTCTGGCAGGAGCGGGTTGGAATAGTCAGACATTTAATAGATACCAGGCATCTTAGTTTTGTTGAGGGGTAATTTAGATGCAAGAGACATCCCTCCATTTTAAGTATGTATAACTTGAGTTCGTCAACTATACATAGTTATGTGATTGCCCCCAGAATCCATAATCATAACATGGAACATTCCAGTCGTTCCACAAAGCCCCTTCTACCCCGGGCAGTCACTTGGCTCCCTCCACCCCAGCCCCTAGCAGGGGCCGGTCTGCTTCCTGTCACTGCACACCCCACCCCATCCAACCAGAGGCCAGAGAAGAACACCCTCAATTCTAGCCCCATCAACCACTGGCCCCCTTCCACTAATCTTGGCAGCCCCAAGACTCTGTAAATGCTGTTCCCTCAACCTGCAACATTTCTTCCTGGCTGCTAACACTACTTATGCATCAGACCTAATTGAAGAGCCACCTCCTCCATGAAGCCTCCTGTGATAGCCTGCCCTCTCTCTTCTGTGCTTCCCAAGCATTCCACATGTCCCGGAGGCAGCTATGACATGCACCACGGTCCCTCACATCCACGTGCATTTATCTCTTTAGCCATCACAGCAGTCAGCAAATAGCTGGTACTCAGTAAATGCTTTCTGAGGGAAAGGAACTCTGAGCAGCCCTCACGCGGAGGTTTCCTTTGCTAGAATTTCACAGAAAGCAGTCCTGGGTGAGTTTGGGGTGCATCCTCGCAGTTGGGAGAGGAGGTAGCAGTTCCTCTTGATGGCCCATCAGTTCGATTCTCCGGGAGACCTTTGAGTGGTTTCTGGTTTCCACCTCTGACTGCATGCACAGGACTTTTTGTGGACGTGTGCGTCTCTTTCTCTTGGGAGTGGATTGCTGGGTTTTTGTATGGTGAGTCTATGTTTAACTATAAATAACCAGCCAGGCTATTTTAAATTCCCACCAGCAGTAATTCCAGTGCTCCCCTCCCTTGCCCCCTCATGCTTGCTAACATCTTTTAATTTTATTGGTTCTAGCGGGTACATAGTAGTATCTCATTGTGGTTTTGATTTGCATTTCCCAAAGGACTAGTGTGATGCTGAGCGCCGTTTCATTTCCTTTTCTGCCATTCATGATATCTTTATTGGATACCTGATATCTTCTAATTTCATTAGCAAATGTTTATTCCAAGACTAATTAACTTATGAGCCACATATATCAAGTGCCTACTTCATCACATAATAATAAGTATTAAGTCTTAGGGGCAGACATGGGATCCGCGTGAGGGCTGCTCAGAGTTCCTTTCCCTCAGAAAGCATTTACTGAGTACCAGCTATTTGCTGACTGCTGTGATGGCTAAAGAGATAAATGCACGTGGATGTGAGGGACCGTGGTGCATGTCATAGCTGCCTCCGGGACATGTGGAATGCTTGGGAAGCACAGAAGAGAGAGGGCAGGCTATCACAGGAGGCTTCATGGAGGAGGTGGCTCTTCAATTAGGTCTGATGCATAAGTAGTGTTAGCAGCCAGGAAGAAATGTTGCTGGTTGAGGGAACAGCATTTACAGAGTCTTGGGACTGCCAAGATTAGTGGAAGGGGGCCAGTGGTTGATGGGGCTAGAATTGAGGGTGTTCTTCTCTGGCCTCTGGTTGGATGGGGTGGGGTGTGCAGGGATCCTGTGGCCAGGAGGCTGAGCAGGATACAGGCCTCTGATCTTGCAAGGAGATGAGGGAAGGGAGATTACCAGGTGGGGGGACAGTTGGGGGTCAAGTTAGTTGCACCTGCAGCAGCTGCTTCTGGATAGAACCTGTGTCCACAGCCTGGTCTGTGGGAAGCTGCCTCTTCAAAGAGCACGTGGTTCATAGAAAGCTGACAGTGGGTGTCAGGATTTCAGTGGCCGAGTCTTTTTTCCGCCTGAAAGCAAGCACAGCTGTGGGGACAAATTGGGAGCATCTCAGCTTGGTCCGGGTTTGCTGAGGCTTCCTGGATGTGGGTGGGTGTTGGGGGGGGGGGGGGATCTACTTTCAGTAAATCATATGTTAAGGCCTCACTGTGAGTAGTCAAGCTGCTCCTAGTCCCGGGTGCTTGCCGTCTTCTTGCTGCAGAGCCCAGCCAGGCTTCACTCTGCTACGCAAGAGGTAGGAGTGGGAATCCGCATTTCCCACCCGAGGGCTTTGACAAGGAGAGCCTCCAGCCATGTGCCCACTCTGTTCTCCTTCCTCAAAGCCAGGTGCCCTGTTTTGGGTCCTGCCCTGCCTGGCAGCCGGACAGGGCTGGCTCTGAGCAGGCAAGACCAGCTTGACTTGAAGAATGCAGCTGCAGCCTGCATAAATAGGGGACAATTAGGATCTGATTTTTTTAAAATGAAACTCCTATTTCATGTGCATATTTCACAGATACATAGGAGAGAACATTACCTTGACTTCCATAACCATAGACAAAAGAAAAAGAGGTAAAATGACCTAGAATTCTATCACCCAGAGAGAGGCAGGCAGTAGGTGTGTATACTTCTGGGATTTTCTTTGTGATGCTTTTGACTTGCTAGTAAGTTTTGTGGGTGTGTCATTTCCCCCCACATCCATCAATTGGGAGAGCGGAAAGTAGTTTGACTGCTTCTGCTTGCCTTGTGTTCACTCGGGTCTCCTCCCTGCAGAACCCAGCCCTTGCTGACATCTACACGGAGCATGCCCATCAGGTGGTGGTGGCCAAGTACGCGCCCAGCGGATTCTACATCGCCTCTGGAGGTACCTGTGTGCGTGTGGCTGGTGGTGGCCCTGGGGCCAGGCTGGGCTCCTGCCTTGGAAGGGTGGGGGGTGAAGGAATGTGGGGGTGGCAGGTGGGACCAATGTGATTAGTTTCTTGGGGCTGACAAGAAAAGTATAAACCACTGAGAAACCCCATGCCACTGCTTTCTAGTTTGCAGCCTGCCAGCTGGTTTCAGCCTCCGAGGTCAGCAGAAAAGTGCTTGAGGTTGGCCAGAGGCCTTTACAGTGGCTGTATCGTGATCACTGGAGCCCGCGCGGGTGTGTGTGTGTGTGTGTGTGTGTGTCTGAATTTAGCTTTGTCTTGTGTTACCTTTCCTGCTGCTCCTTTCCTGGGACCTAGCACAATGCGGCCTCAGCCTCCGTCAGAGCTCATCTCATTCTTTGACCCTTTGCTCTCCAGCTGGGCGCCGGCTCAGTGAGCGGCTGGGCACACAGATCTTTACCTTCTAGGATGCTGTCTTTATTCACCTAACCCTTTGAGGTAGATCTCTTACCATTTACAGATGAGAAAGGGAGGCACAGAAATTACAGTGACTTACTCTGACCCCATTCCTTCACACACTCAACAGCTATTTATTGTCGGCCTGGCCTGTGCCTGGCCTGTCTCAGGCCCCAGGAAGAGCCAGGTGGAGGAGCTGATGTGGGCCTCCTCCCATCCCCAGAGAGGGACAGGCAGAACCAAAGTGCTGAGGGAACTAACCGGCGAGAAGGGAAGGGCCAGGATTGAAACACGCTGGTGGCTGTTGTCTACACTGCCCTTGCTCTGGGCATGGCCGGCCAGGCATGGACCTGTCCCTGCAGGGATCGCCCCTCCCTGGCTGTGCAGCCTTCCTTGAGTAACTTGCCTTCCTGGGCCTTCGTGTTCTCTCTGTAAACGGGGCTGCTAGCACCCACCAGGTCGGTGGGGAAGGGTCCAGTGTGCAATGTATGTAAATACTAGGACAGCTCTTGCATAGTGGGCACTGACAACAGTGTCTGTCACCGAAACCGGCATGCACCAGTGCCGGCGGCCGGGGTTGTATGTGGAGGGCTTGGCCAGGAGTCTGGCACGTACTGGGCACTTCATGATTTCTGTGTTTTGACCTACTCTAACTCCATCTGTAAAACTTGCTCTAATTTCTATCCTGTGATTTATTTTAGCCATGTGGGGTTTTTTATTCTGGCCTAGCTTGCCAGCAAAATGTCTCTTCGTTAAAACCCCAAGATTTGGCCCTGGTACCTTTTTAAAAGTGTATCTTCTCAAGAGACATGTGGTTGGAGGGCCCCCACTGCCTGCTTGGCACAGCTTTCCCGCCCTGGTGCCTTGAGCCTGGAGCCCGGCTGCTGAATCACTGGCGAGGCCTGCCCTGCCCCGCCCATGTCCCCAGGCGTGGTGTTCAGACAGTAATCAGTGGCCTCAGATGCTAATGCCAAGTCAGCGAGGACAGTCTACACAAGAGAAGGGTCAGCTGGATACTTTCTTACAAACGCCCTCATTGAATGGAGGAACCAGGGCGACGGGGCTGCCCGCGGGTGCAGGTGTTCTTGGGCGGAGATCACATTTACTCCGCAGCGCCCTGGTCCTCTGCCCAGAGTGAGGACAGGACACATTTCCTGCAGAGAGGAAAGGAGAGTCCTGGGCTGAATTAAACCGGGTGTGGGTGAGGGATGCAGTGTGGAGGAGGAGGAAGCTGGGAGAGCGCTGTGCTCTGGCTAACGTTCCTGGTACCCGCTGTGCCTACGTGGGGCAGGGGCCCCAGGGCCTGGGAAACCTGCTGCTCACTCCCAGATGGGGCGCCAGCCCTCTGCTGGATCTTAGGTTCCTGTAAGTCTGGCTGGTCCCCATTTGCTGAGTGTTTGAACCCTCCAGACGGCCTGTTGTGAGGAAGCCCACTCCAGGGCCCAGCCCTGAGCAAGGCGGTCCATGTCTGCCTTCAGGGAGCCGCAGTGCCACGCGATGCTTCTCTGTGTGGCGCCATCTTCAGGGCAGCTCCAGGTCCCTCCTAGAGGTGGCTTCCTCAGGGGACATTGATGCCAGCGGTCTGTGCCCGTGCTCAGTCCCCGGGCGCCCAGCAGTGAGTCCCAGGTGACTTGGGCTGCATGGGGCAGGCTTTTGGGAGTGCGGCCCTGAGCCCAAAGAAGGATGTGAGCGTTGCTCAGGGGAGGGACGTGGAGACCAAGCTGCAGAGCCATCGTGAGCAGAGGATTCTGGTGCAGCCCATACATGGTGGACGTGTATTCATTGTCTGTGCCCCTTGAGACCCCAGGCAGGTGCTTGTCCACTGTGCTCTCTGGCTAATGTTCCTGTACCTGCTGTGCACTTAGTATGAGGCTTGGCATCCATGGCACTCGTCATCCTCTGGTGACTGCACCAGGGCTGCCCTCATCAGAAGGGGCCTGGGCGCCTGGTCTCCAGCCCGATGTGTTTTTCTGGCTCCAGTTGCTTCTGAAAAGAGCTTGATGAGCAAGCAGGGCTGAGGAGGAGGCTGCTGGTCTGGCCGGGGAGGCAGTGGGGAGAGGACGGCAGTGCTTGGAGTGAGCACAGGCCGGCCACGTGCGGAGCCCAGGGAGGTGGGGAAGCAGGATTCGGCCTGTGTGCAGGTCGGTGCCTGGGCTGTGCTGTGGCTGTGTTCTCTGTGGCTCAGCGCAGTCCCTGGACGGCCTGCCGTTGGCCTGTGTGCGTGCGAACCCTTCCTGACACTGTCGGCCAGTTTGTTCAGCAAAGGGACTAAAGAGTCCAGGTCCTTTGGAACTCCCCTCAGGTGACATGCCAGGCCGGCTGTCTAGATCTGGCCTGGAGCGGACCAGGGCCCATGGCAGCCCCTCAGCTAGTGATGTGCATGAGACGGCAGCGTGTCTCCTCTCTGTCCCACAGCTGGACTAGATGCCAGATGTTTGCTCTCATGTGTGGGGCCTCCTGTGGAGCCTTAGCTCACTCACTGACTAGTTGTGACCATCTAACAAGAGCCTGTGGTGTGCCGAGGGCTGGTTTGGTGAGACTTTACGCCTGTCAACTCGTCAGTGTTCGGGAAGCCCTCCCGCTGGCACTTCCCCCTGAGGTGGCAAGGTCATAGGTGTTTGCGAGCTGCAGAGTTGCCCAGGGCAGGGCTGCATCTGGGGTGTTGCGGCTCTCTCTCCCCTCGGCCCCACCTGAAGGGGCAAAGCGCTCACAGAACCGCTGTCCAGTTAGTGAGGTGCTGAAGGGTGTCCTGGGAACACAGGGCCCGCTCACCTGCTGGGAGGGCTCCCCAGACCCCTCCAGGCTGAGGAGTTAGGCCTCCAGTCTTAGCATCAAGGCCTCCATTTTTCCTGCGAATGTGGGAATTCAGTGCTCCTGCGGGAGGGGCGTGTGGGGGTTGGTGCTTGGAATGTGGTGGCTGACTCTCTGCAGGGAGGGAGGGGCTGCTGCTACTCTATCACTGATCCCAGGCAGATGCTCCGAGGCCTGGCACCCCGTTCTGTCTGTAGTACCACTCCTTCCCACACCCACCCTGTGCGTCTCCCATGAGGCTTACTCACTGCAGCTGAGTCGTGGGGTTGGGCTGTGCTGTGATGAGTGAGGCTGCTGACTGCCTGAGGTGCAGTGGGGCTTCGAGGGAGTGGGGTTGACAGACCCCCATGGGGGCCACCACGCATGCCTGGCACGCACCCGGCTGCCCAGCTGTGTGCCTTGATTCTGTTAGTAACGCAGGGCCATGTAGGAGAGAGGCAGGTGTCACTGGTATACTCACCGTGTGCCCTGGAAGAACTTCCGGTCCCCAGTGTTGAGGAAGTTAGTGACCGAGGCTCGTGTGTCATTTAGGTCCCCTACAAGGAAAGAAAGGTGGTCATAAAGCGAGACTGCGGTGGTGCCTGGGGTTTGCCACCTGTGTTCCTGGGCTTCCTGTTGCCTGTTGGAATGTGGTGATCCCGGAATCTGATGAGGGGCACAGACCCAGCAGTGGGCCTCGTGGAGGCAGCAGGCGCTGGTCAGCGAGTGGCTGGGGATCGTTGACCTACACCACACCCCTCCTCCCAGGCGGCCTTGGCCACCTGCAGGAGGCCTGTGCCAGGCTGCACAGCTCTGCAGCCCTAGACCTGTGGTGACTGGGGCTCCCGCCACTCTTTATGTCCGCAGATGTGTCTGGGAAGCTGCGGATCTGGGACACCACGCAGAAGGAGCACCTCCTGAAGTACGAGTACCAGCCTTTCGCTGGGAAGATCAAGGACATTGCTTGGACAGAAGACAGTAAGAGGATCGCCGTGGTCGGGGAAGGAAGGGAGAAGTGAGTCTGGCTTTGGCCCTCCCCTCCATGTCCCCTGATCTTCTTTCCGGGTGTCCCTGGTGGGAGGGGTGCGGTGACTTCAGTGTGCCAGCTGGGACGAGTGTGTGTTCAGTCCCCCTAGGTGCCAGGCTCTGAGCCTCCTCACAGAGGTGTGAGCCGCACGGGCCACTGGCTCCTTCAGGGTGGGCTTCAGTGACATGTAACAGTAGGTGAGCTCCTCGGGGTTTGTCTCAGGGCCCAGGCACCTCCTGTCTGTCTGTCTTGGGAGTCCTAGAACTCCTGCCGCCATCATGCCCACCTTCCAGCACAGGAAGCGGCAAAGGGAGGCAATGAAAGAGATGCAGCTCTTAGAGCAGGATTGGGTCCCTCCCAGCAGCTGCCAGGGAGACCGACATTTCCCAGCTGGGCACATCACCCAGGTCCCCTCACTAAGGAAGACGGGGTGAGGGGACACTGAGTAGGTGGCCCTCAGTGGCTGCTGCACTCCCAGGTCTAGTGACCAGAGAGGAACCCTGGTTTTCTTATTCCAAGTGCAGTCAGGGTTTCCTCTGGGGTGCCATGGCTGCCCTCCAGGACTTGAACTTGGCAGGCATATGCCTGTCTCCATTATTGGGAGCCTCTGTAATGTGTATTGTGGTAGGTATTAGTTCTTCCATAGAGTTTCAGGTCATTTTTTTTAATGTTTTTATTGATTTGAGTGAAGGAGGCAGGGAGAGGGAGAGAGCGGTAGAAATATCAATGAGAGAGAATCATGATCAGCTGCTCCTACACGCCCGTATGCAACTCGGGCATGTGCCCTGACCAGGAATTGAACCGGCAACCTCGTAGTGCGTGGGCCGATGCTCGAGCACTGGGCCACACCAGCTGGGCTTTCAAATCATTCTTGCTGGTCTTAACAAATTCTTTTTCATTAGATTGCAAATAGTAACCAAAACAATACGTTTTCACAAAATGCCAGCCGAAAGCAAGGCATCATCTCCTCTCGGAGGGGATGGCAGGTGTATTTCGTGGTCCTGCCCAGGAAGGCAACTAACCATAAAGCTGGTCCCCTGGCGGAGGCTTTCTCAGGGAGGCTTGCTGGCCCTGGGCCACACAAGCACGGACCTCCGGCCTCTTCTGCGGACACGTGGTCTCCATGCTTTCGACAAATACTGTGTAGAGCCAAAATCGCAGTGTCGTCAGTGTGTGATTTGGATGGGAGTGTGGATGGGAGTGTGAAGTATGGTCATGAGCCGGGGCTGAATTGGACACTCAGCTGCCCGTGTCTCATCCAGCTTCGCAGGGCTGATTGTTTTTCCTGTGGCTCCTCTCGTTGGATAAAGGTTTGGAGCCGTCTTCCTGTGGGACAGTGGCTCTTCTGTGGGCGAGATCACGGGACACAACAAAGTCATCAACAGCGTGGACATCAAGCAGACCAGGCCATACCGGCTGGTGACAGGCAGTGACGATAACTGTGCCGCCTTCTTTGAGGGGCCACCATTCAAATTCAAGTTTACCATTGGCGTAAGTGGACTTCTCTCTGGAGGGTGGCTTTGGGTGAACTTTGTGGTTTGTATTTGAAGCCAGTGGAGCCTAAACCTGTTAGATGCTGATGGCAGAGGTGACGGCGCACACCATCGGTGTGTAGACAGAAAGCTGGGTTTGTGAGGGGACGCCACACGGTCCCCAGTCCTCCTAATCCTGCACTAGGACGGCGTGGATGTTCTAGTTTCAGCAGGAGGGGCCCTCCATATGGCCGGGCTTCGTCCTGGGATGCAGTGTGCATTCTGGGGTGGGAGTCCCAAGCACCTACGAGCCATGTGACTAGACCAGCAACCTGGCCTGCAGCTGTGTTAGCAAAGGAGCCCAGGGCTGGCATCAGCCTGCTCTCTGGTTGTGCCATCTTGAGACCGGCTGAGCCACCAGGGCGACAGGAGGTGGGGCTCCAGAGACATTCAGATTTGTCTCCAGCGCCTTCCAGAGAGGTGAGGGGCAGGGACATAGCTGTAAAGTGGACATGAGAGGAATTAGATGCTGTAAATGCCCTGGTGAAATGCCCCAGGTTGTGGGGTCTCAGTCCCAGCTTTCCACGTGCTCCTGGCTGGCACAAAGGCTTGACCTTGGCTGACAGCAGGTGGCTGGCTGGACAGCGAGTGACCTAAGGAAGGTTAGAACAAGCCTTTGTCCCTTTGATGCCAGGAGAGGTAGGTGGAGGGCGGTCTCCTTTGTTCTCGGAACAGCTGAGACAGGTGAAGGGCGCGGGCTGCCTCTCCAGGTGCCCTACAGGGGAGACCTGGCAGAGTGGGAAGCCAGGTGTGGGAGGGGCAGCAGCTAAAGGAGGGCCAGGGTGCATTCCCAGGTCAGGGAGGAGCCGCGTCTCGGAGCCCCGTAGGGAGGAGGTGATGGTGGGCACATGTGTCTGAGCCTGTTTCTCTCCAGGCGCTCGGTACCAGGGCACAAGGCAGGTGGGACCAGGGAGGGCTCCCAGAGGGGACACCTGAGCTGTGGCTAGTCCACTTGTTCACACTGGAATCAGGCTGTGGAGCCCGCGTCTGTCCTGTCAATGACATGGACTTGGGTGCATGACTTAATCATCACCTAATTGCTTTATGCCTCCATTTTCTCATTGGTGAGAGGGAGGAGAGGGGGGCGGGGAGGTAATGACAGGAGGATTTTGGGAGCTTCGGTAAGTGCTGCTGTGACTAAAGGTCAGCAGGAGGGGACCAGCCATCCAGGACCTTCCACATCGAGCCGCGGAGGCTGAGCCCACAGCTCGGGCTGATGCCCCAGTCCAGTAGGTGGCGGCCAGGTTGGGCAGCCGTGAGATGCTCAGGTTTGGAACCCGCCCCAGATGGTGCCCAGACTGTTCCTTCTTTGTCCCGGCTCCTCCCGCGGAACGGGCTATTTTTAGCCCCCCTCGTTGGTTAAAGGACTGTTGGGGCTCCCTCCCTCTTTAGGTTAATGGGCTATTTCAGGAGCAGACAGCAGTCTCCTGCTCTTCTGGACACTTGGCTCCAATTGCAGGAAAGGCTGAGAGGAGTGTTTAAAGCCACCCAGACCCGACCGGGACTTGGGGTGGGAGTGGCATTTGTCTGTGGGGCCCCTGCTGGGAGCCTGCATGGTTCCCGGGCCTGCAGGGCCACGCCAGCACCTGCCGTGGGCCGTGTCCCACAGCGTCAGGGGCAGCTGAGTGCTGTGACTGAGGAGACAGGGACCAGTGCTGGGGGGCGGCCTTTCAGAGGAGAGGCGGTGGACATGTGGAGTCAGGAGGGGAGGGCAAGGGCCTTTCAGGAGGGCGTCCTGACTTCAGTGAGCCAGGTTGTATGGGGGGCGCTTTGTTCTCTCAGGGAACCAGTGAAACTGCAGTTTATGACAACCCATCGGTGGCTCAGTGCCTCTAGTCTACAGCCTGTTGTACCCCGAAGCCCCGAGGCCTGCCCGCTGTGGCGAGCTCCCAGTTCTGAGGGAGGGAGCCCTGCGCCCTCTTCCCCATCTGCCAAGGCTCTTAGTCACAGGTCCCGAGCCCCCTGACCCAGCCCCCCTCCCTGTCCACTCTATGGAGAAAACCTGGAGCATGTCCAGGGTTTGAGCCGTGGTTTTGTTTTCAGAGCTTTCCTTTCACCTCGGGGCTGCCCTGAGGACTGGGAGGAAGGAGGAGACAATGTCTCAGACCCTCTTGCCCCTGGCTTTGCACATCGCTGGCCCTGAGGGAGGACAGGGTCGGCCCTGCTGTGTGGCTGGCTTCCTTCCAGCCTGGAGTGGACAGCAGAGTAGTTGCAGGTTGCCTGAGTAGTTAAGGATCTGACCTCAGGTGGCTCCCCGCCAGGGGCCCCTGCCTGCCAGCCTCCTGCTCGGGGCCCAGAGCTGGCTCAGCCAAGAGCTCTGGATGGGAAACTGGAGACCGGCTCCTCACAGCCTGGCCTCTCGGGTCTGGTGTCTCCTGTAACAGGTGCCTGGAGGCCCCGAGGCCCCTCAGTGGTAGGAGGGTGGGCCTGTGGCAGTGAAGGCAGGCAGTCGAGGCCTGAGAGCCCCGGTTGGAACTTGGACTCCATTTCACTTTGGTTCAGTGGGTGGGTGCCCCTGTTGGGCAGCCCTGCCCTCCAGCTCCGCATGCCTAGGACTGAAGGAAACAGCACACACCCTTAGAGCAGGGGTCGGCGGACACAGGAGCCAGAAGCACAAACCCCACAGCTGAGCTGGGCCTGGGCCAGGCCTGGGGCCTCGGGCAGGAGGCCTCGCCGTCACGGCAGGCACGGCTTGGGCTTGAGCTTGCTCCGGGGGAGAGGGGAGAGGGTGGTTCTGCCCCACAGATGAGGGAACACGGCGTAGCAGACAGAGCCTTGGCTGGGGGTGTCCAGGGGCCTTCCAGGCAGAGAGCTGGGCCTGGGCTGAGCCAGGAGCCGAGCCAGCCCTCGCTGTGTCAGGAGCTCCGAGGTCTTCCTGTGGCTGTGGGCTCCATGAGCAGCAGTAGCTGTGAGGCAGGCGTGTGCTGCCTAGAGAGCTTTCCTGGACCTCCTGTCCGCGGGTGGATAACGTCCCCTTCCCACAGGACCACAGCCGCTTCGTCAACTGCGTGCGCTTCTCTCCCGACGGGAACAGATTTGCTACGGCCAGCGCTGACGGCCAGGTGAGGGCCGGGCCGGGCTGGGGGCCCTGGAGGGGGGGCTCCTCTGATCGTCCTCGGTGACTGTTCAGAACAGACTCACTAAAGCCGGTCTCAGCGTGGGAACGTAGGAATCTCCCCCTTTCCCACCTGGAACGGGCTGTCACCAAAGCACGGGAGACACGGCTCTGTCTCCTCTTAAATGGAGCAGAACCTTCGAGTAATTCTCTGAGTCTCAGTCGGGAACTGACAGAACAGTGATCAGGAAGAGCACTCGGCACGCACACTGCTGAGATGCACACAGTAACCCACACCCTCCCTCTGTTGGAAGATACACATCTACGACGGGAAGACGGGAGAGAATGTGTGCGCCCTGGGCGGGAGCAAGGCTCACGACGGAGGCATTTATGCTGTGAGTATGGGCTTGTGTTTCGTGGCTTCGTCTGTGGTCGTGGTCGCCGGTTTGCATTCACCGAACAGATTTGCAGTTAGAAGCTTCAGAGTCGGGTGATGGCACAGAGCTTCGGGGTCACGTCCAGCGGGTGACGTGGCCTGGACACTCGCCCCGCCCCTGCCCCGGATGCCCCCCACTCTGGTTTTGCTTCTCCCTGCTCGGAAGTGGGGGCTGTGGCCGGGCTGCCTTCTGAGGCCACTTCCCACTGAAATTCTGACACGTGGCACACCGTTTTGTTTGAGTAGATTAGTTGGAGTCCTGATAGCACTCATTTGCTTTCTGCTTCCGGAGACAAAACCTCGAAAATTTGGGACGTCAATGTGAACTCGGTCGTCACCACGTTCACCATGGGCTCCAACGTTCTGGACCAGCAGCTGGGCTGCTTGTGGCAGAAGGACCACCTGCTCAGCATCTCCCTGTCTGGGTACATCAATTACCTGGACAAAAACAATCCCAGCAAACCCCTGCGGGTCATCAAGGTGAGGCTGCGCCGGATGCGCCTGCCTGTGTAAGGCAGAAAGGGAGAGGCTAGGGGGGCCGATGGGAGGCGGGCCCGGGGCTCTGGTAAAGTGGCAGGATGCTGGTTGTTTGGGAGGACTGTGTGCTTAGTAAGGTGGGAGGCCAGGGGCCCTCAGCCCTCCTCCTGTCCTGAGGGGTTCAGCCTCCCTCAGTTAGGGGCTCACGGGCTGTGACCCCCAGAGCCCCGAGACAAGGTAAGTGGAGCACCCTCCTAAACTCTGGAAACCTCGAGGACGACGAAGTGGCCTGAGGTGGGCCTGGACTTAGCGCGGGATTTGAATATGGGACTGCATACAGGGAGCCCCCTGGGCATGAGGGGCTGGAGGTGGGTGAGGAGATGAACTCAGGAGTGATGGAGCCTGAGGTGTGGAGGCCTTAAGTACCTGGCCAGGGGTCAGGGTAGCAGGGAGAGAGCGGAGGGGTGGGAGGACCCACCTGGATCTGGTCCCTGATCCCCAGGGCCTGCCTCTGCCTTCTCCGCTGTCAGCCCCAGTGATTTTGTCATCTCAGGAGACTTACAGCCCGACCAGAAGCTCCTCGGGCTGACCTGGTGCCACCCACTGCAGACCCGCCTCTGCCAGGGCACTCGGGGTCGGGCGGAGTCGGTAGGGAGCAGTTGGAAGTCGCAGGGGCCGGCTGGCGTGTCCTCAGCTCCCCCCCTGCCTCCTCCACAGGGTCACAGCAAATCAATCCAGTGCCTGACGGTGCATAAAAACGGCGGCAAGTCCTACATCTACTCCGGGAGCCACGACGGACACATCAATATCCTTTGACTCAGAGCTGGCTCGGGGGCTGCTGGCGGGTGAGGTGGAGCTTCCTGCTCTGATGGTGCCAGAGGCAAGGCCAGCCAGCTGTCAGCAGCCACTCAAGCACCATGGCCGTGACCTGGTGGGTCACCTCTCACTCTGTGCCTTGAGTGGTGCTCCCCTGTCCGTGACTAGTCCTGGCCCGCCCCTCTCCCAGCAATCCACTCGTTGAGTCTCAGGTTCGAAAGGACTTGGAACCTCTTAGCAGAGCCCTGTAGCTTAGAAATGGGAAAACCAGCTTTGATTGCTGAAGTGCCTTACCCAAGGCCAACAGCCCCTGTGGGCAGCGGGGCTGGAACCAGAACCCGAGCCTCCCTCCTCCAGTCAGCAGTTGAGGTGATCCCTAGACGCATGTGTGACCGCCCTTTCCTCCACCTCCCCACCCCACCCAGCCCGTGCTTGTGGCCTGGGGCTGGTAATCCCCCGTCCCAGGACCGTCTTGAACACTGGAGCAGGTGTCTGCAGGGTGACCCACAGGTGCCCATACCCAGGCCTGGCTCCCAGTTGGGGGCATCATTGAGCTGCCCTCGTAGACAGTTTCCCATTCTCTGTGCTGCATCTGGAAGGGGCTGACCGGGACTCCCGTTTCTCACGCCTCCACAGACTCTTGTCTGCAGACCTTCGTCATTTTCATGAGATCATGGAGTCTCCCCACAGTCCCAAGAGAGGGAAGCAGATAAGTCGCCCTCAGCCCCATTACATGTAAGGAGATGCAGGGAAAAGGGGTATACGTCCAGCGGGGAAGAGAAGGTGCTAGAACCTGCCTCTCCTAATGGGTATGCAGGTCTGTGCAGCCACCGCCTTCAGTTGGCCTGGGTTCTCCCCTCCCGGCACCCGCTCATCCCCACCCCATGTCAGTGTACACACATTACCCTTGATACTTACTTTTCCTGCTGGGTCCAGGGCTGGGGTCCCCATCACAAGAGTGTCAGCACGAGTGCACACCAGCTTCCCAGAGGGACTGTAACTTCATTGGAAATGAGAGGCTCACTCACTGATGTACAAGAAGAATCTCGTAATTTAAAACCCACCTCACACCCAAGCACCTGGCGCTCACATGCCTCCCTGCGATGGGTCAGCCCAGGCTTTACCTGGGGCAGCTTGGTGTCCATCTGCTGAGCAGCAGGGCATGGCCAGCCTCCTGCTGGTGGACATGGGCTCCACAGCAGGTTCCAGAAGGAGCAGAGCACAGCGCTGGCTGTTATACAGCAATGGCCTCCGTAATTTGGTTGTGATCTGTCTATGCTGTTAACTGCTCGCTCAGCGCAGTTCTGTGACCTGCTCAGCTGGCCTGTGCACCACTATCGCAGGAGGCGTAGTGGGCTTGGACCCGGCACGTTGGGTTATGAATGGCCCGCTGGCCTGCAGTCGAGTCGGCAGTCTTGCTGGTTTACCTGGACAGCTCTGAGATTCAGGCGTGGATGTGCACTGGGAGCTCGCCTCAGGCCCAGTGCATACTGTCCTGTCCCTCACATGCTGCCTGGGACAGACTTTGGCTGTGGGCACCTCCAGCCCCCCATTCTGGAGGTCCGACTTTTCCTTAACCACCCCCCACATTACTGGGATTCCGAGACCGGGGAGAACGACTCCTTCACTGGGAAGGGCCATACGAACCAGGTGTCCAGGATGACCGTGGACGAGTCCGGGCAGCTGGTGAGCTGCAGCATGGACGACACGGTGCGGTACACTAACCTCACGCTGCGGGACTACAGGTGAGCTGCCCGGGGCTCCAGGATGTGCCTCCGCCCCGAGAAGGCGCTGTGCCTGCCCAGTCGCCACTCTCACAGCATTTCCTCCCTCTCTGCTTCTTGTCCTGGGCACTCATTCTGTTGCTGGGCTCTTGGCCAGGAGCTGGGTTAGAGTCCAGGTGCGCGCAGACCATGACCAGGTGTAGCCTGGGAGGCCGGCGGCCAGGTCTCACCGCACCCCTTCCTCGGCTCTGTTCCTCATCAGTAAGGTGAGGTGACTGGCACCAGTGAGGCCTTGAGGGTGCCTGGCATATGGCAGGTGCCCCACGGACAGATGGGCCCTGGGAGATGGTGAAAAGCAGGGTCGCATTCAGTTTGCCCTGGTACGTGGATTGGCAGTCCATGGAGCGGGCGAGGAGGAAGGGGTGTCCTGTCCCTGCTCGCAGGCAGGCTCCTCCTTCAGCACCCACACCCCAGACCTCACTCTGCAGTTAGTTGTGTAGACGCCACCATCCTCCCAGAGGTGGCAGGCTCCTGGAGGTCGTCTTGGTGACCCTCACACTGGGCACGGCACCCATCGTAGCGGACATGCATGCTGTGGCCTCGCTTGCCTTTCGGGACTGTGGTCAGTTAGGCCTCAGGATGAGCGCAGAAACCACCCCAGAACCTGGCCTCCAGGCTCCAGTCCTCTTCCTGCTGCCCAGTGACCCCAGCATTGCCCCTGAGCCTCGGTGGGTGAGAGAACCCTCGGCGGGCAGAGCCACAGCCTGGCCTCCCTCTCACGGGCCTGTTCCCTGAGCCTTTGGGACCCCACGCTGGCCCAGTTACATGGAATTTTCCTCAGTTTATTATTTTCAAGGAAGTTTTTGTGTGTGCAAATTTTCCTAGAATGTGTTTTCATAGTATCAGCTGAAAGTAAGAACACAATTTTTACCCATTAAAAACAATGGGTTATACAGGGTGTCCTAAAGCAATGTATACACCCTGGAGCAGCTGACAGCTCAATTTTGAAAATGAAATGTATTTTAGTAATCACAGCCTTCATAATTACTCATAGCGTGTGTGTGCATTTTGGGGGACACCGTGTATTTTACAGTGAGTTGTTGAGTAGACTGGTCATGGCCTGGGATGAGGAGGCAGAGCTCAGCACTGTCTGCACCCAGGAAACAGGGTCTTTGGATGGGGAGACAGAGCAGTGACAGGGTGCGGTGGGGTGGCGGGTACTTAACCACTTTAAATAGCAGCAGAAATTACTCCCTTCGTTCCTCTCATCACCCTTCCCCAGGCTCTACCCCCGACCCCCTGTGATTTCCAGCTTTCTCCCAGACTCTGAGTCATTCCCCCCGTGTTTAGTCATTACTCCCCTCGTTCCTCTCATCACCCTCCCCCCCCCCCGCCCGTGGGTTACAGCAGCTTGTCCTCCAGAGCTGCTGTGGGTTCGCAGTCAGTGTGTGCACACCTACCCGAGCCCCCAGACATGGCAGTAATGTGCTCCTTCTCTCCGACAGCGGACAGGGGGTGGTGAAACTGGACGTTCAACCCAAGTGCGTGGCTGTCGGCCCTGGAGGATACACGGTGGTTGTGTGCATCGGGCAGGTATGGCCCCGCCGTGTTGGCTGGCAGGGCGGGCAGCTGGGCAGCGTCCCGTCTCTGAATCCTGTCCCGTCCTGCCCCATGGACAGTGGCTCGAGCAGACCTTTCTATTGAGCTCTTGGCCCTTGTTGGCCTTCAGCATGTTCACTCAGCAGTCCTGTCTGTTACGTGTGGGGTCGTCCCTTCTTCCAGATGAGCAAACGGAGGCACAGAGAGGGCAGGTGGTTGCCCAAAGTGTGCACCTGGCAAAGGGCGGGGCTGGGATTTGAGCCCAGGTAGCCGGTCAGATCCTGCATTTGAGCGTCAGGCCCCGTGTCCATTGCTGTGAGGCCTCCGAGAGGCAGAGCAGGGCTGTGTCTTCACTCATGTTCATGATGCCAGCCCTCTAGTGGCGGCGCTGTGTGACCTCAGGCATTTCCCTCCCCCGCTGACAGCTCCCGGGAGGGTTAGAGGAAGTACTGTCTGGCCCCTGCACCTTTGTAAGCCCCTTTCTTAAGGAGGAGGCTGAAGCCTGGGTGATCTGGTGACTTCCCAAGGCCACCTGATGGCAGGGGCACCAAGCCAGGGAGGGCTTTGTGGCTCTAGCTCCCCAGCCTGGTCCTCATTTATTCTGGTTGAGGTCCCTACGTACTTTCTCTCGTGGAATTTCTGGAATGAAACGCCTTTGCCTGAGACCCAGGCCGGACCCAGTTTGTACAGCTGTGGCAGACACCAGCTCCCAGCAGACCTGGGCATCCCAGCGTGGGGGACAGGAAGGCAGGTGTGACTGTGCCCTTGCTGGCAGGAGTGGTGAACCCTGCTAAAGAAGCTGCCATTCAACATCCACGGCCCCTCCCCGTTCTGTGAGCTTAATTGCTTCGGGGAGAATGGATTCTGTGTCCTAGATAACACGACTTCCTGCCAGGCAATTACTGCAACGGCCAGGTGGTCAGTGGGGGACAGGAGTAATGCTTTGGAGCTCCTGAGCCGCGTGGGGGAGGGACCGAAAGGCGAGGTTCTTGGATGAGCAGGCAGATGCTTCCCTGATGAGAGGGCGCTTCCCAGGCCTGTGTCTGAACACCTGGCCTTTGCAGGAGGGAGTGGGCTGTGGGCCCGTGGCAGGTGCTCTCTGTGCGCGCGGGAGATGATCCCGCCGCTCCCAGGGGCTCAGGCCTGCAGCTCTCAGCCAGGTGCGGGGCTCGCTCCGCGGAGACAGCTGCTGGTTGGTGTGCTTTGTTAGGCGCTCACCTGTGCCCTAGACTCTGTCTTCAGGTCTCTTACCCACTAGGGCAGTGGTTCTCAACCTGTGGGTCGCGACCCCTTTGGCAGTCGAATGACCCTTTCACTGGGGTCACCTAAGACCATCCTGCATATCAGATATTTACATGATGATTCATAACAGTAGCAACATTACAGTTATAAAGTAGCAACGAAAATGATTTTATGGTTGGGTCACAACATGAGAAACTGTATTTAAAGGGCCAGAAGGTTGAGAACCACTGCCCTAGGGGGCTGAGACTCAGGCTTCAGGAGCTTCCCTGCAGGCAGTGGTGGCCAAGCCGGGATCAAGCCCCAATATGTCTGTGCCCAGGGCCCTGCCGTAGGGCCGGACACCCGCACACTCGGCCCCCTCCTCCCCCCATCTCCCCCAGGACTCTGTCCCATCAGAGGAGGAGGAACGAGGCTGGGGTGGTGTGCCAGAGAGGTGCACAGGGAGCTCCAGGCCGCTCCTGGGAGCCGTCTGTCCCGTGCTCCCCTCCTGGGGCTGCCTACGGGAGGGCAGAGCCCGCCTACTGGCGTCAGCCCTGTGCCCTGTTTCCTCTGTAAGATGGGGGGCCAGCACTGTCACTCCAGGCCATGGCGACGCACTGTGACGACATTGGATGCTTCACAGTCAGCAGGTCAGACTCATGAAGGGTGTTTCCTTGGACCTGAGAGACCAGAACTTAGACTGCTCGGGAGTCCTGTGTGTTCCCAGGGCTCTGTCGCAGCCCAGGCCTCCCAAGTGCCTCTCCCTCTATCAGGGGAAGCGGCTCGGCCTCGCGCGTGGGGCTGATTGAGTAACTGGGGCACTAACGTGCACACGTCGTCAGCTTCCCGGGCAGTAGGTGCTGTGGTGGTGATGGTGGCAGTGGGGTGATGGCGTGGCCTCACGGCCAGTGTTCACTGCAGTCCTGTGACGAGGTCCTGTCGCCATCCCCTTGACTGGCGAGGGAGGAAGCATAATCCGGTCACAGGCCTGAGGCTGGCCCGCACGGCCCGCCCCAGCCAGGTCAGAAAGGGAGCCCGACCCGAGCGGAGCCGTGTGCCAGGCTCCGCGCTCTGACCTCTGCCTGTGCTTCCAGATCGTCCTGCTGAAGGACCAGAAGAAGTGCTTCAGCATCGACAGCCCCGGCTACGAGCCCGAGGTGGTGGCGGTGCACCCCAGCGGGGACATGGTGGCTGTCGGGGCCACGGTAAGGCTCTCTGCCCTGGGTGCCTGGGCTGTGAGTGTGGGATTGTCTTAGGCAAAAGAGGAGGGAGTGGGACTGGGCCCCTGGGAACCAGCGAGGGACACCTCCATGATGACCCTCAGTCCCCAAGGGCTGCCCAGCCCTTGTCCTGGTCTCGTCCTGGTTCTGTGCACACAGCACAGGGCACCAAGGAAGGGACGTTTAAGACCTACCCAGGGGACCTTGAACCGCCTCTGGGACACGGGGAGCTCAGTTGCCTTGAGTGCAGGCTGGGCCCTGACTTGTCCTGGGGCAGCCTCAGGCGTTGCAGGGACACCACCTATCAGTACCCCGGTTACCACCCTTCTAGCTCTGTCCCATGTGCTCACCCTCGCCAATTCGTTCCAGTGAGTGTTACACTTCCTCAGTGCCAGGCCCCTGGGACATAAAATTGAGGGCTCCCTGCCCTGAAGGGGAGGCACCTGAGGTGCATCCACCCTGGTTAGGCTCCCTGAGTGCAGGCAGAACCACCCACAGATGCCCAGGCCCCTCCTGGAGGTTCTGGCTGTTGGGAGCTCGACAGAGGTTGGCCATGGGCACCCCTGACCCAAGGACCCCTGGGGCTTAGGGGCAGCCAGTGGGCTGAATGGCAGGCACAAGCCCTTTGAAAGAGCTGGGCAGAGGGAGGTTTCGCCAGGGAGCAGGTGTTGGAAGGAGCTGCCGAGTGTGAAGTGTTCTCAGAGCCTGGCCTGGGAGCCCTCATTGGAAATTTCTGGAGTGTTTGTAAAATAGACAGACTCCCAAGCACCCAGACATAGAATCAGAATCGGGGTGCCTAGGGCCCCTCCCTGGAGCACCTCCCGAGTCATTGTCCCATCCCTGACCCTTGCAGGACGGGAACGTCCGCCTGTACTCCATCCTGGGCACCTCGCTGAAGGACGAGGGCAAGCTCCTGGAGGCCAAGGGCCCCGTGACTGACCTGGCCTACTCCCACGACGGCGCCTTCCTCGCCGTGTGCGACGCCAGCAAGGTGGTCACGGTCTTCAGCGTTGCCGATGGCTACGCGGTGAGTGGCAGTCTGTCCCGTGTCCCCGTGCCGGGTGGTGCGGGTGGTGGGTGGGGGCCATGGCCTCTCCCTCCTGTCACCAACCAGATAGGTGCACGGGAGCAGGCGACTTTGCTCTTAGAGCGTGACCGACAGGGGACAGACCCTGCCGGGAGCTGTGGTCTGGGCGAGACAGACAGTTCCGAGGAGGCTGGGGAGCTGGGCGGCGGCTGCTGTGAGGGCTCAGAGGGCGTCGCTGGGCCTGGCTAGGTGCCCTCCTAGCCTCTGAGGCCTGTTCTCTCTGTCAGGGCCTGGGCTTGGTTTTTCTCTCGGCTCGTCACTGTCTGGGTCCAGGAAAGACAAGCTCTGGTTGTCCCAGCACTGCGTGCGCTTGGGGGACCCTGGGAGGTGGGTGGGGAGGAGGACCCCGTCGCCAGGGCACACGGAGCAGCCGAGGGCGCTTTGCACGTGGGAGTGAGAGTTCCTGTTTCACAGCATAGCTGCCCTGGGCGGTGCCCGTCCTGCTCCACAAAGGGGACTGCGCTTCAGAGAGACCTGGTCCCCAGAGGGGTGAGAGGCAGGCAGGACAGGACGGTGGCGGGTCTCCAGTCCCTGGGCCTCCCCACTGCAGCAACCCCACCTCCAACACTGACAGCTCTGAAAGCTACAGCAGAGTTAAAAGAATTTACCAGCTAGACTCTCCCATTAACATTTCATCCCGCTATAAAATGTACGCATAACCAGAGACAGATGTGAACAAGAGTACATGTTTGCCGGCATTCACCTGTCAAGATAAACACCACCCTGCCCCACCCCCAGGAGGTGCCCTTCTGCCTGGTGCCACGAGATCACGTGTTCAGTGGTCTCGTTTGCCTGTTAGGAGCCTTAAGACATCTGAGTAATTCACGGGAGAGAATCCACAGAGGCCGGCATAGGCCAACGAGAGAGACAATCTCGGGCCATTTGTGGGGGATACTGTTAGCAACCCCTTAGTGAGAGGGCTTTGGGCTGGGGCACGCTCTGGAAGTAGCCGCATGCAAAGCCTCCTGCTCTGCCCAGGCCGGCCCGGCCCCGGCCCCGGCGGAGGAGGGGAGAGGAGGAGCCTCGTGCCTTCCCTCTCCGCAGTTCCCTGGTCAGGCCCTTCCGCCTGCCCTCGCTGCGCTGAGGGCTCTGACGGTGGCCGGTGCTTGATGCTGGCCTGCATCTTCAAGTAGCAGGGACTTCATGAGGTTCTTACAAGGAGGCCAAGAGTGGGGAGGCGTCTCCTGGCGCTCATGGTCACTGGGAGGGTTGGTGAGGACCCATCCCTGACTTGAACCCTGATCTCTGCTGCCTCTTTTTACCCTGCAACTAGGAGAACAATGTGTTTTACGGACACCATGCAAAGATCGTCTGCCTGGCCTGGTCACCAGACAACGAGCACTTTGCCTCCGGGGGCATGGACATGATGGTGTACGTCTGGACCCTGAGTGACCCCGAGACCAGAGTCAAGATCCAAGGTGACTCTCACACCCATCGGCTCCCAGGCAGCTGGCCCCAGGGCTCCAGTGTCCCCTCTGTCCTTCCGGGGAGGCCACCCCGTGAAGGCGTGTCTCCTTCCTCCCCATCAAGCCAGGCTCTGCGGGCCGGAGCTGGGCACTCAGGGACCGACAGCAGGTGTGGTAGCAAGTGGTCTCCATACACAGGCCACGTGCTGAGTCGGGCCTCTGACAGCTCTGTCTGAGTCCTTTCGGCTGCCGTATCAGTCCACACGGGCGTACACGTAACAAAAACTAGTTGCTCACAGCTCCAGAGGGGAAGCCCGAGGTCAGGGTGCCAGTGTGGTCGATGGGGCCTCGTCCAGGTCAGGACTTCTCACTGTGCCCCGCGGCAGCAGGGTTCTGTGACATCTCGTAAGGGCACTGCTCCCGTCCGTGGCCTGAACTCATACCGTCACCTTGAGTCAGATTAGCTTTTCAACTTAGAAACTCTGGGGGCAAGCATTCAGGCCTTCGCCTCCTCCCTTCCCCACCCACCCCACCCCCTTCCGCCTCGCACTCTGCGACAGCAGCCTCAGGAGAGCCATCCCGTGGGCCGTGCATGGGCTTTAAATTTTTCTAGCAGCCACATTTAAAAAAGAAACAGGAAGTTATTTTTAATTATTAATTTTATTTACTCCCAACACGTCATTTTCCACATGAGGCAGCAGCCCACGTCACAGGCACTGTCGTCCCTCGTGGCTCACGCCCCGGGTGGGGTCGTCCTGTGTAGGGCAATGCCCCGAGTGTCAGTGCCAGCGGAGGGGACGCCCGCTTCTCCTCCATCCCAGCCCCGGGTCCTTCTGCAACGAGGGGAAGGGGATTCCTTAACAACGATTGAGTCCGGCCCCACAGGCTGCTCCGTCATCCCTGTCCAAGGTGTGCAGAGGAGCCGAGCAGCTGGCTCTCCCTTAAAGTGTGTTTTTCCTCCTCAGATGCACACCGGCTCCACCACGTCAGCAGCCTGGCCTGGCTGGACGAGCACACGCTGGTCACCACCTCCCACGATGCCTCTGTCAAAGAGTGGACAATCAGCTACTGAGGACCCGCCTCCGCACGGCCGAATCAGGGACTGGAGTTCAAGTGCAGCAGAACACAGCCTTCCTCTAACTCTGTACCGCCCCGGCCCGCCCCGGAGCAGGGCCCACCCCGATGACCCTCGTCTCTGCAGGGTGTTCGTATCTATACACGTCCTTCTGAAAGCTTTAGACAGTGACAGTTTGCACATGAGAAATAAAGTGAGCACTTAAACAGTGTGTGGAGCGTAACTCAACCCACCCCCAGCGCAGCCCGGGGCACATTCCAGAGGCAGCGCCTCCAAAGCACACAGCCCGCTCCTGGGGCTGCTGCGTGTCGGGGAGGTGAGTCCCAGCCCCCCTGCCGGCGGGCTGCACTGGGAGGGGGCACCTGCGCTCAGCGAGGCCCAGTGCTGTGGCCCAGATGTCACGCGGTCACTCACTGCGTGAGCCACGCTGTGCGTCGCCCCCAGAAGGCCTCGAAACAGACGGGCCCGCGGGACCTCGTATCCACCCTCGGTTTTTGTGCTTGATTTTAAGAATGAACCATGATGGTTTTTTGTTTTTCTCTTTTTTTAGTTTTTTTTTAATGTGTCTTAACTGTTGCCTGTCTTGTTTACTAGCTATTGGGTTGAGGGTGATGTCTCCAGAAGCCCTTGTTAGTAGACTGAGGTGTCCTGGTCCCCATGCCACTGTCATCCTTCCATGTTTTCCTTTCTCTCCCCTCCCGCCCCCAAAGCAAAGGTTAATTTAAAGGTAAAGATGAGTCGCTGTAAGCTGTCATCGTCGCACCTTTTCTTTTTCAGTGCAGAAATTAAAGTGACATCAGCACGGTGACTTGGAGTTTTCTTGCGTGTGTTGGAATCACTGGTAAATGCTGCTGAGAGCAATCCCTCCCCCGCACTTGTGAAAACACTGAGCGCTTTACGAGATTAGAGCGAGAGATGATTAAATATCTTTTCTCTTCACTGTGGATCGCTGACTCTGTGTGGCGGGCCCCTGGGGCTGGGGCACACGGTCAGGGGAGGCGGCTCAGGCTCAGGCACTGGGACTGTTAGGTGTGCCTTCCGATGGGCGAGAGGCCCCGGGGAAGGGGCTGACACTGGGTCCTGTTCTGTCTGACCACGTCACTGTGACCTGGGCCACCTCACCTCCCTGGTCTCAGCCTCAGTGTCCTCTGAGCTGGAAGCACTGGACCTGTCCCACCCGTGCACTGAGCGGTGTGAGCCTGTCCTAAGCTGACAGGCAGAAAGGGGTGGGGCGCTCCTGGAGCATTGGCAGAGTATGACGGTGCATCAGTTTCCACATCTGTAAAGTGGGGTGAAGGTGGCACATCGCAGGGCTGCGCAGGGACTGCGTGAGATGCCCAGGAATCCCACCGTGAATGCAGGAAGTGTGAGACGGTCTCATCATAGGTGTTAAAGGCAATTAGCAAACGATGCACATGTTAATTACACCGGAAGTAGGACACAGTTATTAGCCAGCTCATGATACTATACAACAAATGGTGCCCGTGTCCAGGGGTAAGCAGGGTAGGCCTCCTGGAGCAGGTGGTCCCTCAGGTCAGGGCGATGCTCAGAAAGCCAAACAGGACTTGGGACTTGACCTTCCTGGGAAGCAGCCAGGCAGGGTTTAATGCCATCCAGTGTTCCTGCTTGGACCCCTCCCCCCACTCTGTGGAGATGGACAGCTACAACCTCGCATTCTTGATGTATATGGAGCCCTAGATGTCTAGGAGTCTGGTTTTCTGGTCGACCCCTCTGGCAGACTTGCCTGCTAGGAATGGTTTGCACTGCGTGGCGACTGTCCGTACCTTGCAGGAGGCTGTGCAGTGTCCCTGTCCTCTCACACTTAGGTGCCAGTAGTGTGACAGCCAAAAACATCTTCAGACATGGCCAGTGCAGACAAGAGGGCCCTTTTTTATTCCAAGTCCACTCCAGTCACTTAGTCACTCATGTTCATGAACTATTCACTGATTCTCTATTACCAGACACCACAGTCAGCTCTGGGGACACACTCAGCTGCAAGATGAGGCGTTCATGGTGAGCTAAAGGTTTTAAACACGTGATTCTGTTAGGGCCCAGGAAGCTGTGGGAGGAACCTGAACCATGCACAGGAGACCAGCCTGGGGTGGGTCGGGGCAGGGATGACAGCCCACCTGTCAGGGTTCAAGATGTAGTACCGCCTCCACTGCCTCTCCCGCCTGGAGGCCTGCCTGCTCTTGGGTCGCGCAGGCCCCTGGCTGTAGTGCTCAGTGAAAAACAGCAGAGGGCAGCGTGCGACCAGGCTGGGCAGAGGCTGAGGCCGGCCGGGTAAGCCAGCGTGGCCAGCACAGAGCACGCTGGGTAGGAGTCCTGTTTCCCCTGGCCTCACCTCAGAGAAGCCCTGCATCTGTTAAAATGGCCAGTGGACCAAGGAGGACAGTGTCCCTGCCACTGGCCTCCGCTGTCACTCCTGCCGGCCCAGCAGGGGCGCCATCTCTTCATCTCCTTCCAGAGTCTGAGGAATCGCTCCGCCGTGGGCGGTTAAAGACGAAGGGACAGGCGCTGCCCACAGGGCTGACCCAAGGGCCCACACCCGTCTCCTTTCACAGCACATTTGGTAAAAGCACCTGCCATTTCCTCAATAGGCATTATTCTAGCCCGCGTTTGGGATGGCAGGGGCTTGGCTGACGGGCACAGTGTCCTGGCTTCTCCCCTCTCAGCCCGTGAAAGCTCCCCTGTTCCCAGCTTCTCGGCGGCAAAAGAAGTAAATTGGGAAGATTTGTTCCAAAGAGGCGCCCGTAGGATAGTAACTTCTCATTCTCTGCGGCTCCCATGTCCCCCGCCAGCAGCTCAGAAAAGCGAGCCTTTCCCTGCCGGTGGCCCAGGAAAGGGTGAGCTAAAGGGACTGTGTTTGCTCACATCACCGGGTTTTTTGCAGTGTTTCTCAATGTGCGGTCCAAGACCACCTGCACCAGAAACTCATAAAAATACAGATTTTTATACATGGCCGCGTCAACTAGAACTGCTGCTCGTCAACCCCACTCCTACATGTGAACGAGAGAACAGGAGCTGAACAGAACCTGGACACAAAAGAGCGGTCCCCTCTACAGCGGGGGCAGGGAGCCTTTTTTCCGCCAAGGGCCACTTGGGTAGTTATAACATCATTCACGGGCCATGCCACATTATCCACTTAAAAACTAGCCTGCTGTCATTTTGAATTGAAGGTCAGAGAAGGAGCTTCACAGACAAGAAAAAGCTAAAAGAGTTCATCACCACCAAACCAGTATTACTTGAAATGTTGAAGGGCATTCTTTAAGAAGAGGAAGAAGAGGAAGAAAAAAGAGATAAAGAATATGAACAATAAAATGGCAATAAATACATATCTACCAACAACTGAATCTAAAAATCAAAGTAAATGAACAAGGAATCTAATGAATAAAATAAACTGATGAATAAAATAGAACCAGAGTCATGGAAACATGGAACAGACTGATGGATCTCAGAGGGAAGGGGGGGAGGGAGGGCAGGGAGAGATTAACCAAAGAGCTTATATACCTACTAGAGGCCCGGTGCATGAAAATTCATGCACTGGACGGGGGCGGGAGGGGGGCGGTCCCTCAGCCCGGCCTGCACCCTCTCACAGTCTGGGAGCCCTCAGGGCTGGGAGGCGACCCGGCGGTCAGGGGAAGGCGACGCCCCATCACACCTCTGCTGCTGCCACTGCCAGCAGTGCAAGCCTTGGCCAGCCTTGGTTACCTGTGCCTCGGGAGGCCCTGGGCGGCTGGGCAGCTGCCATCCAAGGTTTGCCTGCACCTCGGGTCAGCCCGGGGCAGCTAGGCAGCTGAGAGGACTGGGCGCCACCATCTTGTGGCTGTGGGCGCCACCATCTTTGAGGGCATGGCAGTCAATTAGCATATTCCCTCCTTATTGGCTGTGGGCGCTGCAATCTTTGCAACAGCATGAGGGTCAATTAGCATACTCCCTCTTTATTAGATAGGACTAGAGGCCTGGTGCATGAAATTCATGCACGGCGGGGCGTAGGGGGATCCCTCACCCCGGCCTGCACCCTCTCCAATCTGGAACCTCTCGGAGGATGTCCAACTGCCTCTCGCAATCCAGGACCTCTGGCTCCTAACTGCTCGCCTGCCTGCCTGCCTGATCACCCCTAACCACCTCTGCCTGCCTGCCTGATCGCCCCTAACTGCTCCCCTACTGGCCTGATCACCCCTAACTGCTCCCCTGCTGGCCTGATCACCCCTAACCGCCTCTGCCTTGCCCCACACCCAGGACCCAGGATTCCCTCCTCTGGTCGGTCACAGGCACCCAGGACCCAGGCCAGCTTTGCCCGGGCCAGCTGCAGAGGACTGTGGACAGGTGACTTTGCCGAGGCCATAGCCGCAGACACCCGGGACCGCGAGGTGGGCAGCTTGTCCCTTTCCTGGGCCCCAGCCCCAGCTGCTGGCACCTGGGACCGCAGGGCAGGCGGCTTGTCCCTCTCCAGGGCCACAGCCTGGCTGGTCCCCATTCCTCTCTTGCGAGCTCATTTGTGCCTGGATGGTCACCATTTTTCTCTCATGAGCTCATTTATGCCTGACTGGTTCCCATTCCTTTTTCCCCAGTGTTGAGTGAGCCATTATGGCGTGAAGGCATGAGGATGTGATGACCATTTGCATATTAGCTCTTATATAGTATATGCATTACCTATGACACAGACAATAGGGTGGTGAAAGCCTGGGTGGGGCGGGCACTGGGTGGAGAGGGGCTATGGGGGGAGAAAAGGACATCTTTAATACTCTCATCAATAAAGATTTTTTTTAAATATCAGCCTGCTGTATTTGGTCAAACATTTAATTAACTCACCCCTAATGCCTTGGCAGGGCCAGACCACAGGATTAAGGCCCTAGAACAGGACATTCCCAACCCTGCTTTATCTGAAGTTTATGAACAGACTACGCTAACCTGTGTGACAGAATAATGTCACCTGGCCTGGGGGTAGGAGTTCTGGCTTGAAAAGGGGCCTTTGGGGTGTTGGAACTGTTCTATATCCTGGTGTATTGGGATGATGCTGTAACCAACTGAGCTACCCGGCCAGGGCCAGACTGTCCTGTGTTCATCTGAATGGTTGCTACACAGGTATGTACACACATGAAGAAATGCTTATATACAGATATATATATATCTAGATATATACCTACACATTAGTATACCATATGGTAGGCATACCATATATGCACGGATATATACATATGCATTGAGTTCTATATTTATTAACTTTCTTTTGTTTAAGTTTTTTGTTTTGTTTTGTTTTGTTTTGAAAGGAGAGCCCCCTGGTTATAACACCTGGGGCACATGACTTTTTATTTTTTTATTCTTTCTTTCTTTTAGAGAGAGAGAGGGAGTGGAAGAGAGAGGGAAAGACAGAGAGAAATATCGATGTGAGAGAAATACATTGATTGGTTGCCTCCTGCACATACCCAGACCAGGGCCCGGGGCAGGAGCCCGCAACCAAGGTACGTGCCCTTGACTGGAATCCAACCCGCAACCCTTCAGTCGGCAAGTTGATGCTCTATGCACTGATCCAAACCAGTGAGGGCTATATTTATTAATCCCCCTACGTTTCACACACACACACACACACACACACACACACACACACACATGCGCGCGCGCGCATTTCCCAGCTTCATGTCAGAGTCTCTGAGCTGGGGCCTGAGAGTCTGCAGGGTGCTCCCCTGATGGTGATGGTGCGCATTGCAGACCATGTGCAGGCTGTGCACACGGGGAGCGGTGCTTTTGTCATCTCCCAATCTCACCTCGGCAGTCACACCAGACCCCACTGCCCGCCTGGGTGGCAGTATCACAAGGCTTTCATACGTCCTTCACTGGAGAACAAGACTGGTGTGCTATTTCTCACCTTTAAGCTGTCACACCTAAGACAGAAGCCATGCTCTCGTGGAAGCACAGGCACCTCTTTCTTGCTTGTCTTTAAAAACTGAACAGGAAAACCAACTGTTTATTTGAAATTAAAATGAACAATATTTGGAGTCTGCAAATATTGTTGGAGACCTTCTCACCACCCCCACCCCCACCCCCATTCACACCCCTAAGACATATTTTTGTTCTTTATTTTTAATACATCCTGTTTTATTTTTTTCCATCACCATTCATCCCCTCTAGGCCCCCTTCCACCTCCGTCCACCCCCTGTCCCCCACAATCATCACACTGTTGTCCAGGTCCACGAGTTCTCTCTCTTTTTTCTTTTTTGCTCAATCCCTCCACCTCCCCCAACCCTACCCTGCCACCCGAGCATGTTCCAAACTTACAGTCTGTAGGTGATTTTTTGCTCTGTCCCCCACTTCTTCATGTGCTCCCTGACCCCCACCACACTCAGCGTAATTAACAAAAGGAAGAGGCAGGTGACGTTCGTCGAGTGTGGGGAATGCACAGGGCTGCAGTGCTTGTGTGATCGATCGCATTGGATCCTGAAAACAGATCAGTGAGCAGAACCGAGGCTCGGAAGGACTCAGCAACTCCCCAAACATCCACAGCCTATAGGTGGGGTCGCTGACCCCAATGTGCCCAGCGGCACTAAAGAGCTGCTGTCGGTGGGAAGTGACTGCTATGAGGCTGACGGCTCGTTTTTGTTTAATTTACAGCCACAGAACTTATCATTGGCATTCAAAGCGCAGCAAACATCCCCTTAACGATCAGCCTTTACCCAACAAGTGGATTAGTTTATTTAAGCATCCTCCTAATATTTACTCAGTGTCCGTCTTTGCCAGTGCAAATGTCTTGCTGAACAGGTTTGAAATCCACCATTGCACTTAGGATTATTATTTGAGAAAAATTGTTATAAACGGGGTAACTAGAACAAATGTACATTTTTAAGTTGTCGGAAGTTTTGCCAAACTGTCCGAAAGCATCCTGTTAATCTGCATTCCTCTTAAAGGACTACACCTTGCCAAGGCTGGGTGTCATGACTCGAAAACCAATTCTGCCAGCAGGACACCCCAATTCAATCTGCGTGAGCGAGGGGATCATTTTAGTGTAATTATTCTTTTTTTTAAGTATATATTTTTTTGCTTTCAGAGAGGAAAGGAGAGGGAGAAAGAGAGATCAAAACATCAAAGATGAGAGTCATTGATCGGCTGCCTCCTGCATGCCCCCTACCAGGGACCTAGCCTGCAACCCAGCCATGTGCCCTTGACTGGAATCAAATCTGGAACCCTTCAGTCCATAGGCCAGTGATGGGGAACCTTTTGAGCTCGGCGTGTCAGCATTTTGAAAAACCCTAACTTAACTCTGGTGCCGTGTCACATATAGAAATTTTTTGATATTTGCAACCATAGTAAAACAAATATTTATATTTTTTATATTTATTTTATATATTTAAATGCCATTTAACAAAGAAAAATCAACCAAAAACATGAGTTCGCGTGTCACCTCTGACACGCGTGTCATAGGTTCACCATCACTGCCATAGGCCAACGCCCTATCCACTGAGCCAAACCGGCTAGGGCAGTGTATTTATTATTTTCACTTCTTCTTGTATGAATTTCTTAGTCTTTGGTACGCGGTGGGAGCCCTTGATCTACATCTCAGCAAGCTGACACTGCCTCACGTTGGTTTAAGTATGTTTCACAGGTTTTTCTTAGTCTTCTCATTTTGGGTCTGGGCAACTACAGGAGGCAATTAATCAATGTCCCTCTCCCACATCGATGCTTCTCTCTCTCTCTCTCTCTCTCCTGAGTTTGTCTATCATACCCTGACCAGGTAGCTTCTTTCCTCTCTAAAAATCAATTTAAAAATCAATTTTAAAAATATATATCCTTGGGTGAGGATTTAAAAAAAAAAAGAGTTTGTCTGCCAAGGTAGTTTACACAGGTGTTTATACAATCATTTGTTAAATTGTATATATATATATATTATAAAGATTATGTATCAGGTTATATATAGATTATGTATAATACATCTGTAAATATATTTTTGTAAAATATGATATATTTATATCTATATATATAAAAGCCTAAGTAACCATCGAAACCGAATGGACGACCAAACAGGCTGTGTGGGGTGACCAGTCTGGCAGGGGGGTTAGTGAGGGCCGACCAAATGGCCGAGCAGCAGGCTGTGTGGGGCAACCAGGACGGCGGGGGCGGGGGCGGGGGGGGGGTGGCAGTTGGGGGAAGTGAGCAGAAGGAACCTCATGCCCTCAGGGCAGAGTCCAGAGTGAGCCCTGCGGGGACTCAGTTCTAGGCGGACGGACGCCTAAACTGGCAGTCGCCGGAACCCCGAGTCACTCGATGTGTTACACTCTGAAATCTTTGAAACTGTTTAGAGATGACTTCAATGCCTACTTTTGATTTGAAAAAAGAAAGGAATTGTTTTACCTTTAACTAATTTGCAGAGTCGATGTTTTGGCGCTGTCTGCCCTGTGCACAGGCCCGCTCCACGGCCACGCCTCCTTCCATCCCATGGGGAAGCTGGCGGGCAAGTGCACCGCGGGCCTCGCCTTTCCTGCCAAAGGGGGTTTTCATGGCTGTCTTCCTGTGGTGAAGGAGCTCTTTCTTTTATAGCATGATCCCCATTGACGGCTGCTCTTTTCTGGGAAGGTGACTGGTTTTGGATATGCCCCAAGTCTCAGTAAACTGCCACACTCGTTCTGAAAGAGCTATTGTTATTTCTTAGGCTTCCTCGGTAGGTGGAGTGACATCTGGAAACCATGTGGCATTTGGGGCTTCCTCCTTCCCAGGGGCCATCACTCTGACTTCCGTCTTCTGGATGCAAGATACTCACAAAGCTTTAACCTTGAGCGTCAGGTAAATCCCGGACTGTCAGCACCTGGCTCGGGCAGGTCCCCTAACCTCTCTGAGCCTCCATGTCCTTCCAGAGCCTGGGTCTGCCATGGAGTCTTCCTCGCCAGGTCACTGTGAAGATGAAACAACGCCTGCCTGTAGCAGCGCCCTCTCCCAGCTCAATCCATGTTAGAGAAAGCGTGAGTATCACTAGAGTTCAACAGGGACTTAAAACGACAGGCAGGGACACCAGGCTGTTCATACCAGATGGGAGATGGGAACAGGCACCTATTGGCATGGGACACATGTCCGCTCATCTCCGGGGATTGTGCTGGGTGCTTTCCAAGCATTTTCTTCTCACCACCCCTCCCCCAGGCTGAGGGAGGCACAATGACCATCCCAACACCCCATACTCACCTGCAGGGAAGTGGGCCTCAAGCCCAGTCCGTCTCCTGCAAAGCCCGTGCCCATCTCTGCTGGTCTGTCCTGGGGCAGGATGGGTCATGCATTCATTCATTCAGCCCAGCGGCTCTCAACCCTGGCCGCAGGCTAGGACCACCTGAGGATCCCCCACGATGCATCGCTGCCTGAGCTCTGCCTCACACCAAATGCACCCGCCTCTCCAAGGGTGGCTCTGGCACCCAGATCTTTTCAAGGCTCCCCGCGTGACTGCTATGACCAGGCTGAAGAGACGCTGGTGACCCCAGTGTGGCACCTGCAGCATTGACACATCAGACAGTAATCGCGGAAGCCTGGCCTCACCTCCCGCTTTGTCGTCAAGTACCTCGTCGTCACTGCCTGTGATAATTAGTTGTATGTGTCAGCTGGGCTGGGCCACGGGGCCTAGATATTTGGTCCAATGTTATTCTGGATGTTTTGGTGATGGTATTTTGGAGATGAGATCAACATTTAAATCTGAGGACTTTGAGGAACGCAGATGTCCCTCCCTAGTGTGGGTGGGCCTCATCCGATCAGTTGATGGCCCAGATAGAGAAACGACTAACTTTCCCTGATCTGGAAGGGATTTCTCAGCAGCCTTTGGACTCAGAGCCACTCTGCCCTGGGTCTTAGGCCTGCTGGCCCGCCCTGCAGATTTGGGACTTCTAATCTCCATGTATTGCATGAGCCAATTCCTTAAAATAAATTTCTTTTTATACACACACGCATCCTGTTCGTTCTGGTTTTCTGGAGAACCCTGACTCATACAGGGCCACGAGCAAAACTGGCCTCTTGTTGAATGTGGCCATACATAAACATCCAACTCACATTCTTCTATGGACAACCACGCCTGGAGAAGGAGGGGCTAGAAGCACGGGGTTCCCGGGCCAGGGCAGACCGCTACATGGCACTTGGTCTCACTGACACAGAAGCACAGAGACGGAAATACCATCTCCTGAAGTTATTCCATAACCAGGGACAGGACTCAGTGGGATTAATACAGCGGCTCCTGCCTAGGGCGATTCGGCATCCCAGGCGACAGTTGGCAATTATGGAGGCATGTGTGGTCTGGTCAGGGCACAATAGACGAACTCAGGAGACCTTGCCGCTGGCATCTAGCAGGTAGCGGCCAGGGATGCTCTAAACACCCTCTGAACGAAAGCACAGGCCAGCCCCTGTGTCAGATACGCCCGCCGAACGTGTAGCAGGTGCCAAGGTTGAGAAAGCCTGGGTTTGGATGGGGAAACACTTGCTAAGGAAATTAACTTAGGGAGGAGCGAGGAGCCTAAAAAGGCAGCAGGAGTCTGATAGACGGACTGGAAGAACAGGCTGGAGGAAAACATTGCCGAAAAGGCCAGGGAGCTCCGGGAAGTTCTTAAGAATCCAGCCTGTGAACGTCACGGTGCCACGTGTGGCTTAAACTGCGCTCCTCCCACGGGGAGTCCTGGCTCTTTGAGTCTTAGCGTGAGACCAGAGGTGGTGAGTAGCATCTTGTGTTTTTAATTTGGGGAGCAATCTGTTAAACTCATGGGGGGGTGCTCTGTGGGGAAGCTAGGAGGGCAGAGGTCTGGTCCTCTCTCTGCTAACGCTGGCCTTTGGTCCCCTCGGTGGGGATGTGGGTGTGGGGAACTCTGGGGCAAACTCTCCCCAGCGAAGCAGAGTCATTACTTAAGCCCCGATCACTCTGCTTCTGGAGACAGGAGCGAGCGGAACGCACGCTCCCAGGCCCCGAGGGGACAGGGCAGGTATGAGGGCGCTCCTGCAGGGCGGCCGGGCTGCGGAGGGTCTGGGTCTCCATCCTGGTGGAACGCTCCCTATGGGTCGGAATAAACAGATGTTTATGAGGTTGAGTAACGTGGTCAAGGTCATTCTGCTTGTTCAGGGTGAGGCCGCAGGCCAGCTTCGGCTCTGCTGAACGCCTACATCAGCGTGTCGTCCACTAGGCGCCCCCTCCGCCCGCCCCTCTTCATAATGAGAAGAGGGCGAGCGGGAGAGAACCCTTTCCATCACATTGACGAGCCTTCCGTTGCGTGTTCCTTCCTTCTTCCTTCGTAGAGAAGAGCAACAGGACAGGCAGGCGCTACTGAAAAAGGTTAGCGGGCGTGGGCCGCGGAGTCAGCTTGACCTTCTAGAATTCTGACCTTAGTGAAGGTCTTACCTGGCCCCCATGATGCGTGCTGTCCATAACAAAACTTCTTTTTAAAAATATATATATATACATTTTTATTGATTTCAGAGACGAAGGGAGGGGGAAGGAGATAGAAACACCATCGATGAGAGAGAGAATCATGGATCGTCTGCCTCCTGCACGCCCCCTAGTGGGGATTGAGCTAGTGACCCAGGCATGTGCCCTTGACCAGAATCAAACCCTGGACCCTTTAGTCCGCAGGCCGACGCTCTATCCACTGAGCAAAACCGGCCAAGGCAACAAAACTTCTTAAAGAAAAAGAGCAGCTAACCTATGTGAAGCCACTGCCAGGCACCGGTCTGAGGACTTCTCATGTCAGTGTTAGCAAACAGCCCTCAGGGCGGCCCTGTGAAGCAGGGAGGGTGTTTACGTCTCCGCGCCCCAAAGGAAGGGTGAACAAGCCAGAGAGGGGAAGTGACTGGCCCAAGGTCACGCAGCTGGCAGCTGGCATCGGAGCCCAGGCCGTGTGCGTGTGGGCCCACTGCCGGCCATGGGAGCTATAGGGGGCTTGGCCCGACTCCTGCTCTGCTCCCTGCTAACCACATTGTGGATGATCTTGGCCTCAGTTGTGTTCACTGTGAAAACATGGATAAAGATGGTGTTTCCTCCTGGTGTTGGGAGGTGTGACATCTGCTCAGTAATCAAAGTTTCATCAACGCTGAATTGCTCACCTGCTCCCTTAGGGATCAATGCTAGGTGCCCAGACGCCCCTGGGGCTCTGTGTTTGGCACATGGTCAGGGTGACCCCAAGGAGGGGCTGTTGGCTGGGGATTCGGGGTGGGGGGTGGGGGTGACTGCATTGAAGAGGAAAGAGGAGGGCTAAGACCCCAGGCTCCGGCAGGGGGACAAGGTGAGCTCAGCCAGCTGACCAGGGGCCTGGAAGACCCAGCCAGGCGCCTTCACAGGTAGAGGGAAGGGGAGGATCTGGGGGCTCGAATGGGGGAAGGAAAGACACAGGAGAGAACCCAGGCTTGGAACCAGACAGCTCTGAGTTCAAATCTCACCTCATCTCCGTCCTTGCAGCGTGACCTTGACACAGTCCTCACGCTGCCCTCTCTCAGCCATGGGCTCTCCGTGTCCTTGTGGCTGAGGACCCGGTGAGAGGAGCTGGGTTTTATCTCTGTGGTCATTTTTTTTAAAAAATAATAAAGCCATATTTTTCTTAACTGACTTTTCTAAGACCAAAATAGGTTTCTCTAATGAACTGTTAAAAATAAGAATTGGAAGAGAATGACATCAGATGAGAGAGGCGAAGGCACACACTTTATTTCTTTGTTTCTCTGCGCTCGCCTGTCTCCAGCAGACAGCCAGGGCCGGCACGTGACGGGGGAGCCTGCCACGGGGCCTAGAAATAGAACCACTGCTCTCTGGGGCCCTGGGCCCCTCCCCCGCTGCCCCCCCCAGAGGCAGCCAGTCTTCCAGTTTTACACATGAATGTTCAAATGCAGGGGGTGGGGAGGGGGGGGAATGAAAAGCGGTGACCTGAAGCATTGCGGGAGAGAGGGTGGCCTGGGACGGGCGTCGCTAATGACAGGTGTCAGGCATTAGCCAGGTGGCTGAAGGGGCGCGGAGTGGACGTGCGTGGATTAGTGGGGACCGACCCCTCGTGGAGGCCCTGGCTCCGCTCCTGTTTGCAGGGTGAGTGTGCGCAATCAGTGACCTGCAGCCGCGGCTCTGAGCAGACCCTGGCGTAAGGGTCAAAGGTCGTCTCGACCTGGGGGGGGCCTCTCCTTCCCGCGCCCTCTGGCACTGCGCTCGCTTGCGGTGATGCGTTTCACTTCGCCAGCCCATGTTTTGGAAACATGGGTGAGGTGCTCGGCCCCACGGCACGGCCGGAACTGTCCGTGTCTGGGTCCCCGTGAGAACCTGCTGGGTGCGGTCAGCCTGCCGTCACCCACGTTTCACTGAGCGCCTTCCATGAGGCAGACACCCCGCCGGCTGCTGGGGGTACATCTGAGCGAGGCAGACAGCCCCTGCTCGGGAAGACAGCCGGCACCAGTCCACAGACAGGAGGCGGTCAGGAGTGGCAGGGACCAGGAAGGACAAAAACCAGGCGCGGATGGAAAGGGAGGACAGGACAGTGTCCTCCAAGCAGCGGGAAGCCAAGAGCACTGCCTTTGCGGCCGAGCCCTCAGCCATCGCCTGTGGACTTAACGATCTCTACCTGCTTTCTCAGCACTGTGTGTTCCCTTTAAAAAATTTATCACCAGGCCTCGAAGTTACTGCCGGGCCCGTCTCCCTGATTAGACTGTAACCTCTGTGATAAGGGACTGGTTCCTCTTTCTTGTATCGTCTTCATTCACCCACTCGCTCAGCCCTGCGTCCACTCAGCTCACGTTTATGGGGTGCTTCCCGTGTGCCCGATACCGAGATGAGCCCCCGGACAAAGAGTGGGCACTCAGTACCTGCCTCCTTTTTTCGATTGAGATGTAATTGACATAGAACATTGTATCCGTTGTAGGTATACGACATACATGACTTGGTGTATACGTAGGTACTGCGGAAGGACCACCGCGGTGAGTTCAGGTAGCACCCGTCACCGCACAGACACAAGGATTGCTTTCTGGTGAGAGCTTGGAAGAGAGGCTCCACGACACACAGTGTGTGCGTGAGGAGTTGCCTTCCCAGTATCACAGACGAGGAAACCCAGCCTCGGATGTCAGGAAACTTGTTCAGGGCCACCCAACCTGCAAGCAGTGGGCCAAACGTTGCCAGCTCTCCTTTCTCTATCGTAACTGTTATGCTGTAATTTTTTCCTTTATTACAAAAATTGTGAACGTGTAAAGGGCCGGGTTAATTGTGAGTTCTGGTTGAACAGCGACAGCTCACATCCATCCACGGCATTATCCCCGTAGACCAGCCGTGGGCAAACTACGGCCCACGGGCCGGATCCGGCCTGTTTGAAATGAATAAAACTAAAAAAAAAAAAAGACCGTACCCTTTTATGTAATGATGTTTACTTTGAATTTATATTAGTTCACACAAACACTCCATCCATGCTTTTGTTACGGCCCTCCGGTCCAGTTTAAGAACCCATTGTGGCCCTCGAGTCAAAAAGTTTGCCCACCCGTGCCGTAGACCAAGCATGTCAAACTCAAAGGCTAACACGGGCCACATAAACAAGGCACGCGGCCCATGGAGTTTGACACACTTGCTGTTCAGTGGTTCTCAATCTTCTGGCCCTTTCAATACAGTTCCTCATGTTGTGACCCAACCATAAAATTATTTTCGTTGCTGCTTCATAACTGTAATGTTGCTACTGTGATGAATCGTCATGTAAATATCTGATATGCAGGATGGTCCTAGGCGACCCCTGTGAAAGGGTCGTTCGACCGCCAAAGGGGTCATGACCCACAGGTTGAGAACCGCTGCTGTAGACTGTCTGAGGCAGCCACGCAGCTGAGCCCTCCCGAGGATCCTTGAGTCCCTGCCGCGGCCCGTGAGCTGGGGTTTGCTGCTTTCATTCCCCTGTCACAGGTGCGGATGCCCAAGAGCAGAAAGATGCAGTAATGGCTCGGGGCCAAGCAGCCCAGAGCAAATGAGCTGGGACACCTACCGCTGACCCAGGGCTGTGCTCCTGCCAGCTCACTGCCCCAGGAGGGCGGGCTGAGCGTGGGCCCAGGGCCAAGGAGGACAGTGCGAGGGAGCGGCCGCAGCGTGGGAAGGAGGCCTTGAGCTGGTCTCGAGCTGAGTCACTGAGAGAGGTGGTGCGTGGTACCTGAGGGCGCAAAGGCCAGGCATCTGGGTGCCACAGCAGAAAAAGCCCAGCCCAGTGGCAAGGATGCTGCTTGGCAGGCCACGTCCCTGCTGCCAGGCCGGGGACCTCGGAAATCGCCTGCCAGCCGGGTTCTCCGGGGGGTGGGGCCCAGATAAAAACCAGGTGATAACAGGTGGCGCCTGCATGATAAACAGCAGGCAAAGGGGCCTGCGCTGGACACTGAGGGTTTCAGCTTAGGCCTCGTTTATAAAACAGGGTGCTCTCTCCGGGAGATTCCTGGGTAGGTCTGGGCGGTTTCTTGGGAAAGGCAGGCTCTGGCTGAGTTTTGAGGGAAGAGAATGTCGGAGCCGCAGAACAGAGGGAGGAGGAACGCAGTCCCAGTCCAGGGCTGGGGTGAGGGTGGGGTCTCGGGAGGTGGGTGCGGGACAGCAGGGCTGGGGATGGGTGGGCAGACGAGACCCAACATCCAGCTTCCCGTGCAAGACAAACAATCTTCGCTCTCGGCAGTAATGTCACCCAGGATAACAGACTCGGTCAGTCATCACGAGCCCCTAAGAGCAGAACTTCTGCTTC